ATGCCATCATAATAAGATAACTTGCTAATTGGCCTCCCATCCGCATCCTTTCTCTGTGTAGATATGCTCTTATTCACTAGAAATGTTTCTAACTCCTATTACTCTTCAAAGTCTTTGTCCTTTGTAAAATTTCAGAATATTAGAGGGCACACGTTTTGTTTACATATTCTGTTTTTTGTACAGATTGAATCAAAGTTATAAGTGTGCCCTTCTCCTTGATAGTGTGCACTGTATCCAAGAGTATGCATTTACATAATCCTTCCTCCCATCTTTCCTCAGCTTGATTTTCATTCAGATTTACTTCCATATGTGCATTTCATTGTTGATCACTTAGTTACAATTTGGGGTTGAGTTTTGTTTTGTTTTGCTTGTTTCTCCATTCTTGTTCCATTCTTGTTATGTTTCAATTTAGCAGAATAGTTTCCAGTTCCATCAAGGATGTCACAAAAGATATCAGATCATCTTTTTTATGGCTGAGTAGTACCCCACAGTATGCATATACCATATTTTATTAATTCATTCATATATTGGTGGGCACTTGAGTTGTTTCCGTATCTTTGTGATTGTGAATTGTGCTTCTATAAACATTTGAGTGCAAGTGTCTTTTTCATAAAATGACTTTTTCCCCTTTGGTTATATATGCAGAAATAGGATTGCTAGATCAAATGATAAATCTACTTTTACTTTTTTGAGGAGTTTCCATACAGTTTTCCAAAGAGATTGTGCTAGTTTGCAGGCCCAGCAACAGTGTATGAGTTCCTTTCTCTCTGCATTTACACCAACATCCATAATTTAGGGAAGCCATTCTCACTGGCATTGGTGATATCTCATATAGTTTTCATTTGCATTTCCCTAATAATTAGAGATGCTGAGCATTTTTTCTTTTCATAAGGTTTTGGCTATTATTATATTTTCATTTGAAAAGTTTCTGTTCATGTCTTTCCCCACTTTTTAATAGAATTGTTCTTGTTGATTTGCTTGAGTCCTTTGTAGATTCCGGTTATTAGTCCTTTACCAGATGTATAGCATGCAAATATTTTCTCTCATTCTGTGGGTGTCTAAGTGATCTTGTGATTTTGTCCTTGGCTGTGTGGAAGCTTTTTAATTTGATCAGGTCCCATTTATTATTTTTTTTGTTGTTGCTCCAAGTGTTTTGAGGGTTCTTTTTCACAAATCCTTTGCCTAGGCCAATATCTATAAGAGTTTTTCTAATGTTTTCTTCTAGGATTCTTATTGCTTTCTGCCTTAAGTTTAAGTTGTTTATCCACTGTGAATTAATTTTTGTTAGTGGTGAAAGGTACCAATCCTGTTTCAGTCTTTTACATGTGGATATCCACTTTCCCAGCACCCTTTATACAAAAGGATTTTTTTAACTAGTGTATTTTTTTTGTCAACCATCAGATCAGAATATGAAGATAATTTCATCTCTGAGTTCTCTATTCTGGTCTCTAGGTCTATGTCTCTGTTTTATGCTAAAATCATGCTGTTTGTATTATTGTAGATTTGTTGTATAGCTTGAATTCTGATAAAGTGATGCCTTCTGCTTATTTCTTATTATGAGAAGTTGCCTTGGCAATTCAGGGTCTTTTCTGGTTCCATACGAAGTACAGAACTATTTTTTCTAGATCTGCAAAAAATAAAAACAAAAACAAAAAACCCCCAACTATTGGTATTTTGATAATAATTTCATTGAATCTGTAAATCAGCCATTTTAACTGATTCTGCTGATCCACACTCATGGTATGTATATTTCTATATGTTTATATTCTTTGCAATTTCTTTCCTCAGTGTTTCATAATTCTTCCTAGAGAGGTCTTTTACCTCCTTTGTTATGCACATTCCTAGACATTTTATTTATTTATTTATTTTGTTACTGAAAAAGGTATTGTGTCTTTGATTTAATTCCTAATTGACTGCTGTTCACTGTTTTTGAAATATGTGAAAGCTACTGATTTGTGTACAAAATCTGGCTTTCTCTCTCTCTGCTAAGGCAAAACAAGCTCACTTAATTACTTATAAAAGTTTCTAAACTGAGAAACGTGGTGCCATTTGGACATCTATAAGATTTTCCCCATAGAAAGGATAGCTGGCAGAAAACAGAAGATGTAAAAAGAGAATAAAACTTGCAGGACAGTCTTATTTATGAATGTATACACATAAAATTGTTAAAAATTAGCAAACTAAATGTTACATTATATAAGAATAGTAATATGTCCAATGTGGCTTCTTCCAGAAATCTAAGGTTGTTTTAGTATTTCAAAATGTATTACTAGAATTTACCCCATTTATAAATTAACAGAAATTATGATAATTTTAACAAATGGGAAAAAGTGGTGAAATTTAGTGCTCTTTAATGATAAAATTCTTAAACTTACAATAGGAAATAAATTTCTTACTAAAATAAATATTAATTACCAGAAACATACACAAAATAAACATATTAACTGAATAGTAAAACTTTGAATTTTTCCTTTTGACATCAATAATGGAACAAGATGCTTGCTTTTTGTCACTTCTAATCAATGTTATACTAAATGTTCTAGTCAATCAAATAAGACAAAAAGAAAAAGTGAAGAATAATAAAATGTTTAAGAATCATAAATGATAAAAAAAGTCATTATTTCAGGTGAGGAAGAAGGCTGTGATTGAAAAAATATACACAAAAATTTCTGAAGTGGTCCCAGTGCTCCATGTCTTGATATTTAACACTATTGCACCAGTGTTAACTCCACAATAATTCATTCAATTGCATTTTTTTGTTTGAACACTTTTTATATGCATCACATATATGATTTCATACCTTGGGGGAAAGACTTCTTATTCAATAAATGGTGCTGGGAGAACTGGATATTCACATATAAAAGACTGAAACTGGACCCATATCTTTCCCTACTCACAAAAAATGATTCAAGATGGATAAAGGACTTAAATTTAAGGAATGAAACAATAAAAATCCTCAAAGAAAGTATAGGAAAAATACTAGAAGATTTTGGCGTGGGGAAAGACTTCATGAAGAAGACTGCCATGGCAATTGCTACAACAACAAGAATAAACAAATGGGACTTTATTAAAATGAAAAGTTTCTGTACAGCTAAGGAGACAACAACCAAAGCAAATAGACAATCTACACAATGGGAAAGGATATTTGCATATTTTGAATCAGACAAAAGCTTGATAACTAGGATCTATAGAGAATTCAAATTAATACACATGAAAAAAGCCAACAATCCCACTTTCTCTAAAGAAGACAGACAAATGGGGAACAAACATATTAAAAAATGCTCATCATCCCTACTTATTAGAGAAATGCTAATCAAAACCACCCTGAGATACCATCTAACCCCAGGGAGATTGGCCCACATCACAAAATCTCAACACTGCAGATGCTGGCATGGATGTGGAGAGAAGGGAACACTTTTACACTGCTGGTGGGACTGCAAAAAATACAACCTTTTTGGAAGGAAGTATGGAGAACCCTCAAAGAACTCAAGCTAGACCTCCCATTTGATCCTGCAATCCCATTACTGGGCATCTACCCAGAAAGAAAAAATTCCTTTTATCATAAGGACACTTTCCCTAGACTGTTTCTTGCAGCTCAATTTATAATCGCCAAAATGTGAAAACAGCCTAAATGCCCACCAACCCAGGAATAGATCAATAAGCTGTGGTATATGTATGCCATGGAATACTATTTAGCCATTAAAAAAATGGAGACTTTACAGCCTTTGTATTAAAATGGATGGACATGGAACACATTATTCTTAGTAAAGCATCACAAGAATGGAGAAGTATGAATCCTATGTACTCAATTTTGATATGAGGACAATAAATGAGAAGGAGAGGGGGTGAGCAGAGAGAGGAAGAAGGAGGGAGGAGTGGGGAATGGATTAGCAGAGAGAGGGAAGGAGGGAGTGGGATGGGGTCTTGGTGAGTGCCACCCCTTTGGAGGGTAATACATGATTGTAAGAGGGACTTTACCTAACAAATGCAATCAGTGAAACCTGGTTTCTTGTACCCTCAATGAATCCCCAACAATAAATTAAAGAAAATAGAAATTAAATTCTATTTATTGGGACTGACCTACAGATGATGCTGCTACAGCCAATTTAGAGTGGCTTGAACTCAGGGCTGATTTAAGAATGTGTCTGTTTAGTAAATGAACAAAATGTCATCCAAGTAAAAAATAATGCCCTAACATTCTAGATTACCATAAAAGAAAGTTTTATTTAAAGTAGAAAAATTACCAGAACATTCAATACCTAAATGTAATGAAAGATTCCACGTGTCCAACATCCAATACTATCACACATCCTGACCTAGTGTTGGTGAGTGCATGTAATTTCAAGAAGACCTCAGCTTTGCCAAGAATATGAGAGTATTCTCACTTAGCACTTGCTGGGCTTTCTAATTTTACCAGGCTCTGTGTTAAATATTTTAGGAAGATTACTCTTGTAATAATTCACAACAAATCTCTGCATTTATTGATATTTCTTCTCATCTATCTCCATTTATAAATGATTCTGCATACAAGAATCTCATCCTACCTTAAAAATAAATATAGACTCAGGCTGAAGGATGGTCATTTATAATTCAGGAAAATGGCAATCAGAAAACAGCTGATGTTGCAATTTTATTAGCAGATACAATAGGCTTTAAACCAACAAAAGCAAGGAAAGATAAGGATGATCACTTCATATTTGTTAAGGGTAGAAGTGAGATTTCAATTGTTAACATTTATGCCCCCAACCAGAATGCACCTCAATTTATAAGTGAGACTCTAACACACATGAGCAATGTGATTATCTCCAGCTCCATAATAGTCAGAGATTTTAACCCTCCTTTGGCAGGGTTGGATAGATCCTCTCAGGAGAAGCTAAGCAAAGAAATTTTAGACGTAAACTTAACCATTCAACAATTGGATTTAACAGACATCTACACAATATTTTATCCAAACAAAACTGAATACACATGCTTCTCATCTGCCCATGGAACATACACCAAAATTGATCACATTTTAGGTCACAAGTTTAATCTCAGCAAATTTAAAAGAATAGAAATTTTTCCTTGCGTCTTCTCAGACCATCCTGGAATAAAAGTTGAACTCAGTAACAACAGGAATCTGTACACTCATTCAAAAACATGGAAGCTAAATAACCTTTTGCTGAATGATATCTGAGTCATAAATAAGATAAAGAAGGAAATTACCAAATTTTGGAACAAAACTCTAATGAAGACATGAATTATCAGAACCTCTGGGATACTGCAAAGGCAATCCTAAGAGGGAAATTTATAACACTGAAAGCCTTCATCAAGAGAATGGAACGCTACCAGACCTCAGACTATACTATATATCGGTAGTGATCAAAACAGCATGGTACTGGCACAAAAACAGAGAGGTAGGTGTATGGAACAGATTAGAGAACCAAGGGATGAACCCAGCTACTTATCATTACTTGATCTTTGACAAGCCAATTCGAAACATTTAGTGGGGAAAAAATTTCCTATTTAACAAATGATGCTGGGTGAACAGGCTGGTGACCTATAGAAGACTGAAACTGGACCCACACCTTTCACCATTAACTAAGATAGACTCTCACTGGATTAAAGATTCAAACTTAAAACATGAAACTATAAGAATACTAGAAAAAAGTGCAAGGAAAACTCTTTAAGAAATTGGCCTCAGTGAATATTTTATGTGGATCCCCTGGGGAATTGAAGCAACATCAAAAATACACTACTGGGACCTGATCAAACAAAAAGCTTTTGCACAGCCAAGAACACAGTAAGTAAAGCAAGCAGACAGCCCTCAGAAT